TCAATACTTTTCACCTTCTTTATGTACTATTAGAAGCATATTAAATTGTACCATATATGCCCAATATATTTTGTTTACAAATAATTTTATATAGATATAATCTAAAATTTAGAGAACATACTATCAAATGCATTCAGTATAGTAGAATACCACAAAGGCCAAAGCATCCATCCCAAACAAATTGTACCAAAAAACAAAAGTATGAAATTCATCCCCTAAATGCCAAAAATAAATCATATGAAAATAATCTCTTCAGACATAATAATAATCTTACTAAGGTATCAAGAAAAAATAAACATTATCAGTGTTCAGGATCGTATATGTGTGGATTTGATATGTCCTGCAAAAAATAAGATAAGAATGATATTAGTCTTGAAATTTTCAATAAAATCAAAATAAATAAATAAATAATAAAATTGAATTCATACCTGTAACAATTGTGTGAATGATATATTGCTTACACAAGGTGTAGATTCCAAGTTTTCTCCAGCTGAACTAATAATTGATCTTTGAAATTGATCATTGTTCATCACCTAAAATCAACCAATTGTTAAGATATTATTCATATGATATTTTCACTTATCTCATTATAAAAACACTATCATATTTCTTTGAAATATAAAACAGACAAAGAAAAACCTGATTATTCTGTATTTGCACTTCAATACTGCTTTCTACTTGCCGAGAAGAACTAGCTTTCACCTTCTTACCCTGTATAATAAATAATATATAGTGAATAACTAATATAAATAATTATTATAATAGTTTTATATTATAAAAACAAACAAGGGAGGGGCAGAACCTTTGATTTTGATTGAACTTTGTGACTTTTTTGTCGCTCTAATGCACCTCTAATTCTTCCTTTTGGTCGTCCAATAGTAGCTTTTGATTTAACTCCTGCTACAGTTGGATACTCTTCTTCATTATTAGAACATAATATCTCATTAGAAGTTCCACCATTTGAGCACTTCTTCATTTCCTGCAAATCCTTCAGCAAATTTGAAAAAACTTCACTTGCATGCTCATACATTCTGTCGCTCTCAGCTGCCAGTGCAGATATCTCTCGAAAATTATAATGCATATTGAAGTAACGCTTCCCAGTGAGTTTCTCAGAACTTCCCTGCACTCGAACTGAACTTCTCAAATCCCCATCTTTTGCATCCTTTGTCCATCTCTTTGATATATATTGCTGTGGGATGTGCTTTATATTTTTCTTGTCAATAACTTTCAAAGCATGAGCACATAAAATCCCCACAAACTCAAACTTCATGCAACTACATTCAACTGCTTGTGATGAAGACTCAAACCATACACGATGCCCTGCACCTCTACCATCATATTTCACTTTATATTCCACCCGACCTTCAGTTTTGCTGATCTTATCAATCGTACAATCCCAAAATTTCAGATATTCTTCTTCAAACAACTTAAAGACTTTAGGAGTGTACACTTCTGATGCATGCCTCAACATCTCAACGTCAGCTTTTAACACAGGGCGGGTATCCCTCATTTTGAACTCTGCAAGCAACTCTTGGTACCTTCTATCTTCTACCAACTTGTTATAATGGTAAAAAAAAGTAACCATATTGTGCTTCGGCTTCAGATACTTTTTTAGCACACTGTTAATTGATTCACTACGCTGTGTACTTTTCATATCAGCAGTAAACATATGACGTCCATAAACCATAGCCCACTTTTCTTTTATTGAAAATATACCTTGCAACCATTCATTGTTCAGCAGACCATACTTGTTAAGCATATCATCCCAACCTTTAAGCCATTCATCTTCATCTTCACCATCATATATACATGAACTAAAATCACTAGAGAATTGGTCGGATCCGTGAAACACATGGCTCAAGTGCTTAGCAGCATTTTGATAAATATGCCAAACACATAAACGATGATGAGTTTCAGTAAATACCTCTTCGATTGCTTTGGCCATTGCAGCTGATTGATCTGTCAAAATAGTCTTAGGTTGCTTTCCATCCATTGCACCCAAAAACGCTTCAAACAACCACTTGAAGGAAGTGATTGTTTCATCATAGAGTAATGCTGCCCCAAAAATTACTGTTTGCTTCAGATGATTGACTCCAACAAATGGAGCAAATGGTCGACCATATTCATTAGTTCTATAAGTGGTATTAAAGCATAGAACATCTCCAAAGTACTTGTAGTCAATGATTGACCTACCATCAACCCAGAACATATTCATGATAAAATCATCATCATCAAGTTGCACCGAATAAAAAAATGATGGATCGGCTGATTGTGCTTTACTAAAATAATCCATAATTGCCGGACCATCTCCCTTTATCATTGTAGCCTTTCTTTGGGTAGCAATATAGTTTCTATAGTCTGAATCTAGAAACCCGTTGTTTTCACGACTTCCATTCTGAATTGCTAGTAAATCAATAGTTGCTTTGATTGGTAACCCAGCTCTCTCAGCATCATCTGCAATAGCCTTCTGAGCATAACTTATCTTCCTGTTGGATCTCAACATGTGCTTCATGGGAGTGGGAGCAAGTTCATGGTTATGATCTCCTTCAAAAGAAACAACCTCTAGCAAGCCATCATTTTTTAGTTGGCATGTCATATGTGCCAAACATCCAATTCTTGAAATTGGTCGCTCAAAAGCCACATGCTCACGCCTTTTATCAAACCCTTTTTCACCTTCTTTAGAACAACAAAATATTCTTCTCTTCACTTGCCCGACTTGATTTCGCTTTATATAGTCCTTCCTTACACTGAAACCAATACTGTGGGCATATGCTTTATAAAATTCATAAGCACTATCATCACTATCGAACTTCATACCTATACATGGCACTTCAACTTTTTCCGCAAAACTCATATGTGTTCCTCTTTACAAGAAATACAAGTTTCACAAAGAAAACCTGCATACACAAACAACAAAATAAAAATTTTAACTAATATTAACCTAATGAAAAGCTTTTCCTTTCATATATGTTGGTTGTGTACCGTAAAACAAAACCAGTTCATATTAATGCAAAACCATCATATTTAATTAGACTAGTTTTAGATGAACTCCTAGCATCCATATCTTACCTTTTCGACTTGATTTGGAGGTCTCCGAAAGCTAGCGTCGAAGGCAGTCAAAGTAGTAGTAGAGATTATTTTATCAAACTGTCTTCCAGTTGCGGGCGTTGGAGGAGTTGAACGCAATTGCACAATGGATACTAGAGCTAGGAAGAAGCCAGCAGTGAGAAGAAAAGATGCCGTCGTCGGCGCTGATTTGATATCTGAGTACGCAATAAAACCTAAAGAGGCTGCACCTCTGTGTTTAATTTTATTATATGTCTTTTTCCAATTAATAAAAGAAATATATAATAGAATATAATAATGGAATAAAAGTTAAAGACACAGCACCGTTTGGTTGCTTCTCCGTCCAAGAAAAAGGATTCCGTCCGTTCCGTCTCCCGTCCTTGTTATTAAGTTTAATAATTAAATGTTAATTCTATGAACCAATTGTATGCTGGCACGTCAATGGGTAGCAGCCATGCGCTGCAACCCAGTAAGCAGCCAATTATCGCCCTTTCAAAAGGTTACTCACCCTATCTAATATCTAATGCCGGAACAAAGCCCGATTTTCTCACACTAGAAAACAACAAGAACATGTCACCACTCAACAGAAATATGAAGAAGAACCAATCCTGGGTTTCTTGCTTTCTCCTTATCACCTTCCTGGTTTGCATGCCCTATGTCGAGCCGTAGCAACCAAGCTTAGGAATCCGACTGCTAGAAGAAAGGCCAACACTACATTTTACCTTCAAGAAAGTCGGGAGTGGCAGGGCTCCATCTGAGCGCCACAAGCAGTACCATTTTCAACGATGAACTGTCGTGGCTCTCTCGACGACCAGAGGAGGGTGCTTGAAATTTATTGATGTTAGTGGTAATGGTGAGGCTGGGAGGGCTATGGTTATGGGTGAATGTGACTCTACCATGGGGTGTGATTTCGACCATACTTATCAGCCTCCTTTCCCCAATAACATCGTCGAGGCCTCCAAGGCGGTTTGAAAGGTGTTGGGGTGTGCCTGAAGATGATTGTGGCAACATGACTATCTCATGGTCAGATGCTTGAACAGAGTCGAGGCTTCATGTGGTCTTAACTCATGCGTATATATATGTACACTGGCGTATGTATCTTTGGGGCGAGTGGATAGATTCTAGTTAGTAGTTTGGATTCATGCAATCTAAACTATGGCGGACATAAATATGCACATCCATGTGATATATACCAATGGAAAATCCAAACGATTATGTGCTTTAAAGCCGAGTTCACTCTTCGAGAGTCGTGTGGTACAAGTAAAGATAATTTACACGGTATTATACAATCTTGCCTTCCTGTGTAGGGTAAATTCATTAACTTCATTTTGTCAAGGTACCAAAAAATGAAAAAAGAATAAAAAAAGTAAAGCACAAAATTTGAAAATAAGATACTAGAATACATGGAGTTGAGTATCAGTATTAGCTTGGGAAGATTCTCCAGAGCAATGCAGTCAAAAGCGCGATTCTACCTAAAAGCGGAAAAGGGTAAAATCGAAAAGCGGTGAATCAAAGAGTAAAAGCGTAAGTTTTTTATGCATCCTGTATAATAGTTAAAAATCTGTTAAGTACGGCATGTACTATGTAAAATATGAGTGCACGGAGTTTAGATAAGTGAATAAATACCTGCAATTATTATCTAAAGTAGAGCAAACTCATAACATCTTATCATTAAGTTCATAAACATAAATCCTAACTCACCAACGAGTTAATAATCCAAATTCTCACAAGCTGGTTTAAGTTTACATAATCACACAAATGTTATAAAGGATAGAAGGACATGTTGTAAATCACAAAACTTACAAAACCAATAAATCCCCAAGATCATCACATTACATCTTAGAGTATTTGGGAATGGAAAAAATCAACGAGCTTTAGGGGTGATAATTAGCTTTAAATATTTATATATGAGGACGATTCTAAAGAGCTTATAATTTGGAGGTCGTATACTAAAAGACTCGAAAGCATAGGTCCAAAGTCAATCTACATGTAGTATAAGATTCATAATTAGCACAAATCAGAGCTGTTGGAAGGCTGTCTCTCCAATAAATTTGACCGTAAAACTTATATGGATCAACAAAAGCAGCAGAAGGTTAAAAACTTGGCCGAGACAGGGCGCTTTTCCCTCGAGTGTAGGACTCGTAGATCATTGGTTCAAAGAAAGAAAAGAAGTCAAGTGGATGGAATGGTGATTGACGAGGAAGACAAGTAGCAGGATTGGCGTATCATGCTCTACGAGAGATTTTTTTTGGATTGGCAGAAGTGGGCGATTGGCGATAGACGAGGGTCTGATATGATATGCTGAAGCATTACATGGTGAGTGGCGACGGGCCGACGGCGACTAGCGAGTCAGTGAGTGGCAACGGCGAGAGTGGACGGCGAGTGGCTGGGTTGCGGGAGAGTAGAGACGGTCGGAGGCTCGGAGGTGGCGAGTTCGATGGGAGTGGCGATGGCGAGAGTGCGACGGCGAGTGACTGGGCTGCTGGAGAGTGGCGACGGTCGGACTTCAGAGGCTCGGGGGTTGGAGAGGCGCGTCTGCTGGCGACGGTTGAGGCCGTTCTCCGACGTTTGTGGGATTGCGGCGGCGACTGCTTGAAGTGGAGATGGGCGTGTTAGGTGGAAGTGTACATGGGTCGGGTGGTCAGGGTTTAACCATTTTAATCATCTGACCCATGCATTACGGTTTGAGAAATATTAAATCCAAACCCACCCAAAAAAATTAAAACCCTACGGATTGTTTCTAATTGGGTTGGGTTGGCGATAATTTTAAGTAAAAACCCAACCCAACACAAAATATGTAATTATTCTACACCATAAAAATATTTTATAACTAATTAAAATTTCAAATGAATAAACCGAGGTGAAAGGTATCAAAATTCACAAATGGTGTTTAAATTTTAATAAAATTTGATTTAGTTCAACATATGTCTAGTTTTTTCACGATATTTATTGAAATAGGCCAAAAATGTTATAAACGAACGTACCCTAATATGTTATTCTATTAAAATTGTACACAAGAAAAAAGATTACATGAATCATAGCTATATTAAATCTATGTCTAAATTTTAAGCCGAAGAGTGCATTAGATTAGAGAGACCGTGAGAAAAAAAACATGGTGAAATATCTTAATTTTCTCATAAGTATGGCTATATACGACATAAATATATTTTGGATACGAACTCATACTAATAGTTGGAACACGGGTTGGATCGGGTTCTACGGTTTGTCCAAAATCCGAACCCAACCCAAAAGAGGGTTATACAAAAGAAAACCCTCACCCAACCCAAAACTTTAGTTTTGGCGATAAATACAGGTGGGTTGGGTCGGGTTGCGGGTGTGTTTGTTCACCCCTAGTGTTAGGGATTCGACGAGACCATTTTTTGGAGATGCTTGGCAGCCCGATTATCACCCTTTTTTTTTAACACCAACACAACATCGTTTTGATGGAATTGGAACATTTTGGTTCCTTGCTTAGAATCGTACAAAAATGGTACAAAAGCGCGTTTCTACATGTTTTCACCGGTTCTGACAATTCTACCTACGCTTTTGACCAATTTTGAGTACACAACGATTATATGTGTGAATTAAAGCGTTTTACTACCCTAGATATGTAAAAACGTACGATTCTACGATTTAAAGCGCGATTTTGATTGCATTGCTCCAGAGAAATTGTGAAAGCTGCACCCATCATGAAGATTAAAATGAAGGCAACCAATAGAACTTTTTTTCCCTATATACCACTCAATAACTAAAAAAATTCAAAAATACAACCATTTGCAAAAAAATTCAATCCATACCATAGTTTCACAAGGATCGCTCCCTCCCATAGCGTTTTACAAAAGGAGCGCACGGGGTGCTGCAGGTTCCGTTTATGCCGCCTACAAAACGACGTGGGGTTCTGCGATCAGATGCAAATTTGAGAAACCAACAAAGTCGAAGAACATAAGTTACCCACCGTGAATACCAGATGTTTGGCCAACTTGAGGATAACCTCCATGTAGGAAACATAAATATTAGGGTTAGTTGGGGGTTAGACAGACGGTTGTGGCTGATTAGAATTAGGATTCTTGTTAGGGTTTCTGGTTATTTCCTATATAAATGTACTTTGAGTCTTATATCGAGGTCAATCAGAAAATCAATAATCAAAACCCTATTTAGTTTATCCCTCTTCTCCTAATCTCTAAATCCCTAATCCCCAATTCTAAAACACCTAGTTCTGCTCAATTCTCTTCTCAACCAATCTAAATCTATTTCTAATCTATCCGGTTACGTTAATCCCAAGTTACCGAAGAATCATAGTCCCTTCAGTGGTATCAGAGCCTAGTTCGACTATGAGTTCACCGCAATTCTCAAATGGGGACTGAATTGCAGAACTCCAAGAACAACTCCATTAAGCACTACGAAGGATTGAGAGCACGACGGAGGATATGCGGATGGCGCTTTCCGGTGCGCGACCGAGCCCTGACGGCGAGAAGGAACTCGCGCTGCTGACCGGCGCGGCCGAGACGGAGGACAGCGAGGCTCGGCGAATCGCTGACGCGGGGAGAGAGGTGGCAGAAGCTTCACTAGTTTCCGGATGAGAGACACAGGCGGCCGCTGCTGCCCGAGCATCACCAGCGGATGTAGACAAAGAAGGACGCGTCGCGGAGGAGGAATCGAATCCTGTGGAGGTTCAGCCTCAAATCACCTTAGCATCCAACACCATCATCGAAAAGCCGCAGCTGAGCGCGACGACTACAGAAGGCAAAGAAGGACCGAACAAAGCCCGAGAGCGAGGATTGGGTGCGGCTGAGGATATGGAGGTTGATGGCAGCAACGCACAAGACCAGTGGTGATCTCTTTGCCTTCGACACCCACCTGCCCACACGAACAATTCTCCGCTACTACCGCTGAAAATGTGTTGTCGCTAAAGAAAGAAGAAACCCCAGCCCTAAATCCCATCGTCGAGACATCAAAATGGGAGACCCAATCAGCCAAAAGGGGAGAGAGATGGAGAGGCGGAGGTAGAGGAGAAGAGAGAGAGGCGATGTCGACCGTAGTGGAGAGAGAGCGGCGGCGGTAGAGGAGAAGAGAGAGAGAGAGACGGCAGTGGCGACGAGGAACAATGACGGCAAGAGAAGATGAGAGCGATGACGACCATGGAGGAGAGAGAGGCAGCGGCGGTTGAGGAGGAGAGAGACGACGACATCGCCAGATTTGTTGGCAGCGACGATTTTGTAATTTTTTTCGGCCTAGTTTGTAATCGATCATGTTCATATCTTTTATCATTCTCGTTTGTAATGTTTATATGACTATTTTGTATATATTGTAATTTGTAATGTTTGTTTGTCCAGTTTGTATACTTTATGTTATGATTTGTACACTTTATATTCATTGATTTGTAATAAAAGTTTACTGATTTATATCATAAGTAGTGACATTTTGTACTGTTAGTATGTTTTGTAATGTTTGTCGAGTTGTTTTGTAATGTTTGTAAGCTTTGTTATTTTGTAATGTTTGTAAGCTTTGTTATTTTGTAATGTTTGTCGAGTTCTTTTGTAATGTTTGTAAGCTTTGTTATTTTTGTCCAACATATTTATCATTTTTGTTAACCATGTTTGTAATGTTTTTTTATGTACAAATTAATAATACAAAACATACTGATATTATGTACAAAAGTACTACTGATACAAACTGACAACATTTGCATTACAAACCATTGTTCTTCCTTCAGACAACAAAATATGATGTCGAGAGCCGACTCTCTCTCCACCGCTGCCGCCGCCGACGCTCTTTACAGCCATAGCTACCCCACCGCGCCTCTCTCTCCATCACCGCGCCTCTTCTCCTCCTCCATCGTCGTCGACTCTCTCTCTCCGTCACTGCCTCTCTCTCCCCTCCATCATCGCCTCTCTCTCCTCTGTTTTCCCGACGACCAGATATGCTTTCTCTCTCTCCAACGATGTCGCCTCCGTCGCGATCGCCTTTTCCTTTCTCCATCATTGTCGAGGTCTCCTTCCTCTCTCCATCGCCGTCGTCGCCCCCCTCTCTTGCATCATTGCCGTCGCTGCCATTCTCCCACGAATCTGCCTCTAGAGGTGTTTCTCTCTCCTCCACCGTCTTCGTCGCCATCTCTCTCCACCGACGGCGCTGCCTGTCTCTTTCTCTCTCTCGTCCACCGGCGCTGCGATCTCTCTCCTCCACCGGCACTGGGTTCTCCTCCGCCATGTCTCTTTCTCTCTCGACATCGCAAAAAAGGGAAGAGGAGGAGACGGTTGTAGAGGAAAATCATAAATCAGTAATAATAAATAAAATAAAACCAAAAATAGGAGTTAATGAATTTCTGATAATACCAAAACTACCCTTCTTATTTAATAATAATTCATTAATTTATCTGGACCATTAGATCAATCCAAAGGCTGAGGGGGGCTTAGTCAAGTGACTAAGGACCCCCCCTTAGTCACCAGATCCGCACTCCCATGAACATGGTGATAGGTATCACAAAGTTGGAGAAGAATCCGGTGTGATATTGGAGATGTAGGAAAGAGAGTCGTTCGCGAGCTTGAACGAAATTGGAAGGGGAGGAAACGCAAGCGACAATCTGACCATTATCGAGAGGAGTGTATGAAGTTGGAGTTGATTGCAACCTTGAGGGCAAGGTTGCTTTTAAGGGGGGTGGATTTTAGGAAACATAAATATTAGGGTTAGTCGGGGGTTAGACGGCCGGTTGTGGCCAATTAGAATTAGGATTCTTGTTAAGGTTTTTGGGTTATTTTCCTATATAAATGTACTTTGAGTCTTATATCGAGGTCAATCAGAAAATCAATAATAAAAACCCTATTCAATTTATCGCTCTTCTCCTAATCTCTAAATCTCTAATCCCCAATTCTAAACCACCTAGTTCTGCTCAATTCTCTTCTCAACCAATCTAAATCTATTTCTAATCTATCTGGTTACGTTAACCCCAAGTTACCGAAGAATAATAGTTCCTTCACTCCACCGCCTTCAACTTCCTTGGTGTAAGCAAACATCTCAACATTGAAAATGTTATTGACATTCAGAAATTCGAGTATGGCATCAACTTCATCCGTAGTGGATATGCGCAATTTCTCATACCACAACGACCCGCTTTCTCTGTTTGGATACCGATACACCATATGATCAACTCTCCTCGTTCCCTCTATGCAAGTAACCGTAGTACACATTTGACAGAGCTCTTCACGATTCGGTCGCGTAGCGACCATCACTTTATGAAAATTACCGCCAACGCAATGTATCTCCTTTTCAGTCTCTTCCGTGTAACCATTCCATCGTAACCCAAGTGTGAATTTTCGGAAGGACAACTGCAATAAAATCATAACTAAATTAATATCATAATTTTTTTTGAAAGATATACACATAATCATAAATATATTATTATATCATTTTCAAATTAACCAAGCGTATGCCATTCTTTTTGAATGATAAGCATTTAAAATTAAGAAATCGCAATAAAAATGAATACAAAACAAACTTACGAAGTAATATAATTGCAAAAACTAAAAAAACGGTAGAGAGAAGAACATAAATTAGAAGAAGAAGGAGAGTAGTGAAGAGTTGGGGTATGCGAAATTGCTTTTTATAGACACAATGTCTTGTGAAAACTACCACACACCCCTACGGTTTAACTCAAACCGCTAGGGGATGTTGTGATTTTCACCAAACATGAAAATCCCACGTCTTCAAACTTCATGCATGCCGGCATGTTGCTTGTTGGAGGATGGACACACCATATAAACCACCACTGACCCCTGCGATTTCTATGTCAGCAAATTGGACCGATGGGGTCAGTGGCGTTCCTGTTTGCCGACATAGAACAGCTGGGGAGCCACGCGGTTTGGTCTAGGTCAGTCATAAAATCGCAGTTGGCCCCTGCGGTTAGTGATCAAAATTTAAATCGCGCCCTACCCTAATGGTCTTTTTTGGAAAAGGTAGTATTTTTGAAAGTTTATAGTTTTTGGATTGTATTTCTCGAAAAATTCTGAATCCTATCAAACACCTATGCACCAGGCCTAAGCAGCACTTTTAACAGTTTTAAACAAAACCAAAGCCAACCTCCAATATCTCTAACGGACTAAAGCAATGAAAGGGCTCATCTGTTGAGATTACAATTTCCTTTCCCGTATCCTATAGTGTAGGTTTTTGGATTCAGAAAATATAAAACACTAGCCATAAGAACAGTGTTGGGGGATGGGACAATAGAATCAACATCTCAAATCCAGCATGCAGTTCCGTGTTTCAGAATCTATGCTTTGAATTCTAGCCAGCGATAGTTTGTAGACTGCAAAGCATACATATCCTATATGTTCTCCCCCGTCCCACGAGCTGCATCAAAGACATACATTTTCTCGGATGGGTTGTTCGATACTCAGTAAATCCACCCCATTGAACAACACCAGCAAAACAAGAGTTGAAAGAAACTTCTTATCCACTAAGTTCCCTCATCCATTTTTCCATCAACACAGTCATCACACAAGTTGGATCCTACTTCCACAATTATGTGTTATGTTAGTTATGATTTTTTCCCCTCTCCCAACATTACAGAATACAGATGCAAGCAGAGATAACAACCAAATCTGGAATCCTAGGCGGTATGGCAACCGGTGGAACTTTTCCACTGCTACCACACCTGCTTCCATGGAAACGAACCAAATCCAACTGTAAGACAAGATATAGGAATTTTGTTGGGTTTCTAATCATGATGGCTGGAGTCTAAAGGTGGGAAGGTTGCATTTGTCCGTGTTTAACAAAACAGTGTATTGTTTAGTTGTTGCAAATTGGTCCTGGGTCGTGTGTTGGAGTAGTTGAGAGTTTTTAGCTCAAGTTTAGAGTCATGTTAGCCAGTTAGTTGGGAGTGGCTGCAAAGAAGTGATTTGGGGTTAGAGGAGGTTAGTAGTGGCCGTGTTTGATAGCTAAGGTCTTGTATTTATACGGTCTTTCAACTTTCAATAAAATTTGGTCAGTTTGCATTTCATTTGAGTTTACGTTGTGGTATTAGAGCTCAAGCAAGCTGTAACCAAAAGCTTTCAAGCAAATTAAGAGTGATTGAGAGAGGCTTTGTTGTGAGTTACAGACTGGTGAGTGAAATCTGCTGTCAAGTGGTTGTTGTGTGAGATTTTGTGAGGTACCAATCCAAGGGTGAGAGAAATCTGCTGTCAAGTAGTTGGTGTGTGAACTTTTGAGTGGGATATCAAGATGAGTGAATGCAGCAGCTTTGCACAAGTGTGCATACCGAAATTCGATGGAGACTTTGAACATTGGAGTCTCTTGATGGAGAATCTCCTTAGATCTAAGGAGTATTGGCAGGTTGTAAATGAAGGAATCAAGGAGCCTGCTGCAGGAGAGCAGTTATCAACAGTAGAGCTCAATTCTCTGGAGGATTCTAAGTTGAACGATTTAAAAGCTAAGAATTATCTTTTCAGCTCAATTGTCAAGGTAATTCTTAAGACTATCACTAAGAAGAATACTGCAAAAGAAATTTGGGATTCCATGAAATTGAAATTCCATGGTAGTGCCAGAGTTAAAAAAGTTCAACTGCAAACACTTAGAGGAAATTATGAGTTGCTTGAAATGAAAGAGGAAGATACTATTACAGATTACTTTGGGAGAGTCATGGTAGTAACTAATGCGATGAGAAGTTGTGGAGAAGATTTGACTGATGTGCAGACCGTGGAAAAGATCTTAAGAACTTTGACTGCAAAGTTCAATTATGTGGTTTGTTGAATAGAAGAGTCTAAGGACATTGAATTACTGTCAATTGATGCCTTGCAAAGTTCATTGATTGTACATGAACAGAAATTTCATAGGAGAGATGTACTTGAGGAAGACCAAGCTCTCAAAACTACTCATGAGTTTTGAGTAAGGGGTCGAGGAGGAAGAGGCTGGAACAAGGAGTCTGTGGAATGTTTCAAGTGTCATAAACTTGGACACTATAGACATGAGTGCCCATAATGGTACACAAATCAGCAGGCTTGTTACTCCAACTATCATCCTTCTCAAAACAGATCACATGGAGACATGAAGGAGGATATGTTGTTAATAGCATATGTGGAAGAGGAGATAGAAGAAAAAGGAAGTGAGATGGGACTAATGACCTCTTTGGAGGCTGATCATGCTGAAAGTGAAGGAATATAAGGCAGCAGAACCTGGTGGTTTCTAGATTCAGGTTGCAGCCATCACATGACAGGTAACAAGAATTGGTTCTCCAACATTGATCTGTCTTTCTGTTGCACAGTGAGAATGGGAAATGGAGCTGAGTTGCAGGTTGCTGGTAAAGGAACCATTAGAAAGAAAGTTGAACATAAGTCCATAGTTATTCATGATACATTCTATGTACCAGAGTTAAGAACAAATCTGCTGAGTATTGGAAAGATGCAAGAGAAGGGATTGATCTTACTTATTCGCCATGGAGTTTGTAAAGTTTATCATGATGATAAGGGTCTCTTATTTTGCATTAGAATGAAGACAAACAACATGTTTGTGCTACATGCTGCATCTGCAGATATTTTGGCAGAACCTGAATATCAATGTCTGCAGGCTATAGGAGCTGAAGTAGTGGTCCATGAAGGGGAGTGTGGTGATGACTTAAGTGTTGAGTTTGATAATGATGCTCCACATGCAGTAACAAAATCTTTTGCTGCAACTACTGTAATTTCATATGATGCAATGCAGGTTGAAGAAGAAGAGGAGGAGGAGTTAGAGGAAACAATAGAGCTTTCCTCCTCTACATCTTTGAATTCCAGAACTAAGAAATCATCAAATTGGGGCTCTAGTGGAAGCCTGCTAGCTTTATCAAGACAGCTTGATTGGTTCAGTTTTCATTTAGATGTCCAGAGGGTACACTTGTATGGAAAGCTAACAGAGGCTATCTATGAAATGCAACCACTAGGAATTGTGGTTGCAAGGGAGGAGATTAAAGCTGGGAAGGCATGGTACAAGAATAGGAGAATTGAGAGGTACTCTTTACAATTTAACAATGGTAGCAGTTCTTATGAACGTGTCTTGTATGCTCAAAAGGTAGAGTCAGATATGTTGTGATGCAATGTGGATGATATGATGTATGGTAGTAGTAATGAGAAATTGGTTATGAAACTAAAGCCCTCAGTAATGAATGTCCTGAAGGTTGAAGTGTTTCAAGAATGTGGGGAAGTGTTTACAACTGACTTTGCATATAGGTTGTTGCAAGCAAGAGTTAATAAGTACCTAATTGCAGTCAAGTATCTAACCACAATGTGGTTGGTCAATTTTGTACTTGATTGTGCAGCCAATCTGGTCATCTTTACAGCTGGTCTGATAGCTGTTTTTATCACCTTTGCAGCTGGTGTTATTAGTCTTACAGTTGGTATTGCAGTAAGTTGTGACCGAATGAAAACCACCACCAGTAAGTTCATTATTGAGGAAGTTAAAGCATGCATACATGGTATGTTTCAAGTGACCGTTATGGGAGTAGTGGGATATTTTTCATTTGCTCTATTTCTTTTTGCTTTAGACGAATAGAAAAACCAGAGTATGTCTTTTCACAGGTCAAAGCAAAAAGAAATTTTGAATATTTTTTATCTTTCCTTTTTTATGTCAGAAAAAAAGGGAAAGATAATTTTTCTATTATTCAATAGAATTATTCAATACCAATACACTAATACAACAATACAATATTAATTAAATATTAAATAATAAGAAATTTCAAATAATAAGGATACTCTTGGTTGCGGCATCATATACATAAGGAAGGTTCTGGTAATCCATTTTGAAGGTTGTAATGTTAAACATTATGCTGGTGATATGGATAGTAGAAGAAGCATGAATAATCAAGAACCAAGAGAGGTTATATTTGGGGCTTGCAAGAAGCAATCAGTGGCTATTTGTATCATCATTGAAGTTGGAATGGTGGCTGGTACTCATTATACATCACAAGGAATCAAGATTATGTGTGACCACTACTCGATCGTTAAGATGTCCACGAATTCAATAGTGCAAGGAAAGAGTGAACATATTAACCTAAGATTTCATCTACTGAGAGGCTTTGTCAAAGGGGAAGTGGTTGGCTCTTGTGATAAGATAACTGACCTTGTGCCAAAGGCACTAAAGCTGGACGTTTTTGAAGAGTTATTTGACATGTTTGGAGTATCTAGTTCAACCAAAGCAATTATGCAGATAAAGATCATGAGATTGTCGTTGCTGTCATCTATGGTGTTAGCAATCAAAAGACATAATGTTGAAACAGGTGTTGCGATTGCGGATAAGGGCTGAAGATGTTGAACCTCTATTGTAGTTAGCTGTTGAGAGGTAAATTGGGAGTTGTGCATATAGTAAAAGCTGATGGAATAAAGATGGAGTGAACTGAAGCTGGTTGAGCGGCTTCAGTTCAGGGGAGGTTTTGTTGGGTTTCTAATCATGATGGCTTGAGTCTAAAGGTGGGAAGGTTGCATTTGTCCGTGTTTAACAAAATAGTGTCGTTTATCTTAGTTATTGTTTAGTTGTTGCAAATTGGTCATGGTTCGTGTTTTTTTTGTCATAGATAGTTTGTAATAGATAGTTCATTACAATGCAGGGAAAAATAAAAAGAGGTAGTCAACCAAAAGGGTTGCTACCGATGCAAGGGTCGTTTGTGCCACACTATGGGCAGCCCTGTTAGTACTACGGGGAGCATAGGCAAAGGAAACAAATGTAAAAGAGGTCTTCATCAAGCACACTTCTTCAAGTACCGCCCCACCTTGATCATTACTAACGTCGTTCTCCATAGCTCGGCGTATGACCAATTACAAGTCCCCACAAAAACAAACAGAATGATGGCCATTGTGTAAGCTCCATATCATTTTATCTCTTAATGCCAATAGTTCTAACAGGAAAGGATCAGATATCCCTTCATAGAACTTACCGTATGCGCAAGTGAAAGTACCATCACCTGTAAACCCGACGAAGCTGACACTGCCTCCGACTCCCTGTCGTGTTGCACCATCGAAATAGATGAGGAGGCCACCGGGGGGACAAGCAGGTGCTACTGGTGGAGGTCTTGGCTGCCGCAGCACATGAGTCTGGGACTGGGGCATCGCAGTAGCCTCGCGCCATTCATCCACCTGTTTGGCAAATTGGCGAAAGAGAGTGCCGGTCAAATATTGGATAACATCGTAAGTAGCCCAACACCGTCCTTTCCATATGCGCAAGGAGAGAAAAACCATGTTTGCAATATCCACCTTGGAAAGCTGCATATTTAAAAGAAGGTTAGACCAAGCAATGTCAATGGGCTCATTTTGTACAGCTACACGGATATTCTCCTTCCCTGCTAGAAACCAAACATCTCGGGCGACCCTGCAGGAAAAGAGGCAGTGTAAGATGGTTTCTGCAGATTCTGAACAGACTGGGCATATATTTAAAGAGAACAAGGACTTCTCCTGAAGGATTGTTTCCATTGGAAGGAACCCTCTCACCACCTGCCACAGGAACACTTTGAGTTTTGGGGGAATGGGAAGGCTCAATAACACCTTCCAAAACCGAGAGTTCAAGTGGGAAGGAAGCTGATCAAACTCAAGATGCTTCGTGGCCGATAACAGCTGATATCCTGTGTTTGACTGTGTATTGTCCAGTGGGTGAGTAGTGCCAAATCAGCTTATCTGGTTGGGGCGCCGATGAAAGGGGGATGGACAAGATCAAGCGAACACTTTCGGTTGTGAACAAAGCTGGAATGAGGTCTCCGTTCCAAGTGCGTGAGATCGGGTAAATGAGTGATGCAACAAAGGGGTTTCCAAGGGACGCACCAGAGAGTAGCTTAGGTGAAGACTGAGGCGAGGAGGGAAGCCAAAGATCCTCAAGAATGCGGATTGCATTACCACACCCTACTTGTCATCGAAGTCCCTTCATCAGCAAATTGCGCCCTTCGAGCACTCCCTGCCATGCCCATGATGGTCGAGAACCAGTGGGGGCGGTGAGAAAATGGCAGTGGGGATGGTACCTTGCCTGGTATAGTCTAGCAAGAAGGGAATCCGGGGACTCTAGGATCTTTCAGGCCTGCTTGGCCAGCATTGCCACATTAAAAAGATCAAAGTCCCGGAAGCCAAGTCCCCCATGGAACTTGCTAATGCATATCGCAGACCAAGATATCCAATGCATTCCACGATCCTTGTCTTGACCCGCCCACCAGAATCGAGCAAGCTGACTATTAAGGCGTCGACAAGTAATAGAGGGAAGCCTGAAAGAATAGATGGTGTAGACGGGTGAAGCAGATCCAACAACCTTGATTACGACCTCTTTCGCAGCTAGCGATAGCGCTTTAGAGCGCCCACTCTGAATGCGGGCAACAAGTTTATCCTCAAAAAATTGGAATGTCTGAACTTTGGATCGCTGTATTTGAGCAGGAAGACCAAGGTATTTTTCAAGAGGGCCTATGGATGAGATGCCGAGAGTAGCGCCCAATGCAATCGACTCTTGAGAACTAATATTATTGAAATAGGCCGACGATTTCTGCAGGTTAATCCACTGCCCACTGGCCTCCTCGCACAACCATAGTAATTGGAGAAGATGTCCACATTCAGAAGACGTTGCCCTCAGGAAAAGGTAAGTGTGTCGGCAAAGAAGAGGTGGGAGAGTGTTGGTGCAAGCCGGTGGATCTTTAGACCATGAAGCTGCTAGGAACTAAGAGCATTAAGCAGTAGAGTAGAGAATGCCTCTGTATAAATGGTGAACAAGAGTGGTGAAAGTGGATCCCCTTGTCGGATGCCTCGCTGGGGCTGGAAGTACCCATGCTCGTTACCATTCAGAAGCACAGTAAAAGAAACAGTCGTAACACAAGCTTTGATCCATTTCATCCACTGCTCGCAGAATCCCATGGCCTCCATCACAGCAAAGAGTGAACCCCACTCAACTCGGTCATATGCCTTTTCCATGTCGAGCTTCAACGCCATCCATTTATCCGGGCCAAGAGTTTTCGTCTTCAGGAATTGCATCACCTCCTGTGCAATCAGATTGTTGTCAGA